GTTTAAGACACTCAAATTAACAATATAAATTTGACTATTTGATGTTTCTTGGAGAAGTTGAATTTAAATTATCTTGTACAAAATAAAAAGACAACAGATGTGTAGTTTAAAACACATTTAACATCAAATCAGAATTGATGATTGACACATTATTTTTCCCTCATCTGGTTGTTCTCTGTGTTCACACACAGAAGTCTCACGTCCTTATTTTGTACGCACCAAGAAAGTGCTGCTAAGACAAGAAACAATTCATGAAACCTCTCTCTCTCTCTCTCTCTCTCTTTTTTTGCAAATGTAAAGCTGTAAATGAATGCATTTTCAATGATTAAAAAAAATAATAGTTTCGACCAAAACAAGGTCAAATCTATTAAAACAATACATTTGCTGGTTGCTGCTCAGGATAAATGCATCTTTTTATCATCACTGAATACAAACAGGAATTTTTTGTTCGTGTTGCCCTGTTTAAGATATTAATTTTAGACTGATACGGTTAAAATATAAATTCTGTTTTTTGTAGTGTGTAAGTTTTAAATGTGTGAAATATAAAGGAAGCACAAAAGTTTGATTTTTTCTGTAAAAAAATGCTGTTTATTTGCTGCAATTTTTTTGAAATGTACATCTCAAAAACGTGTTCTTCTCCCAACTTGAAATGTGCTGTCAATCTTGTGTTTTCTTTAAAACTATTGGTTAATGTAAACTGAACACCCAATCATCTGGGAGAGGGCGGGATCTAAGTGAGGCCCAGGTAAAAAGCCATGCTTGCCGGAGTCAGTCCGTCCACTGCAATGTTTCACCGAACAAGCTGAGAGAGCAAAGCTAAGGGGAAACTGTTGCCTGTGGATGCAGTCTGTTTCGTTTTAAATTATTTAATCTTGTGATGAGTAAGTACACGATGTAAAGTATTTTTGTGCTTAAATAAATGCTTGTTTGAGTAGAAAATATGATGCTAATCGTGAATTAGCTTGTTAGCATTTAGCGCGAGCTAATGTTAAAGGTATTTAGAGTGTATTATTAGTATTGGTCGTGAAGTTAAATAGAAAATTTTATCTACAGTGGACCGAGAGGAACTCTCTGGACTCTTCGGCTGAACGGTGGAGTTTTTGCCAGAGTACTGCAGCCTGTAAGGCCCATCCCAACTCCGCTGTGGACTGGGACCTGTATGGACCAGTATGGACCTGTATGGACCCGGACAAGGGCTACGTTCACACTGCAGGCAAATCCGACCCAAATCTGATTTTTTGGACCCATCTGACTCATATCTGATTTTTTTTATGACAGTCTGAACGA